AAAAAAAAAAAAAAAATCAACAATACCTTCTTATAGTGAAATAATAGATGAAAAATAGCACTTCAGATAGCCTGGTTCTGATACACCACATCTTTCAAACCATAATAGATTAGTACATACTTTAGAGATTGTATTATATTTGTCACAGTGAGGAAAATAAAAAGTATCATTTTTGTCAATATGTCCCATCTCTAACATGCAACTTCATGATTATATACTTATTTTCCAGATATTTGAAACTCTCTTCTGAAACATAAAGAAGATTTTTGTTTGGTTTTTCTCAATCTGATAATTTGAATAGATTAATTGAAAACAACTGGAGTTTCATCTAAGACTGGAATGCTCAAAAAAGAATGAATACAAGTAGGAGGAAAAGTTTGCAAACTAAGGAAAAGCTGAATCTCAGAATATCACGGGCTTCCTTTTCTGAGGGAAAAGAGCCTGACAGCAAAGGGAGATTATTAAGGAAAAAAGGCTAATTTTCTTAAAGCTAATTAAGGAGAAAGTTCATTACTGTCATCTTTTAACAAAATACAAAACATGTAAGAAAGAGAAAGAAACATCAAACTTGGAAAAAAAACCCTAAATTTATACAGTTTATAAAAAAGACTAAATAAAAGCATGAGGATCTAGAACAAAGCTTAATGTTAAACACATTTTAAATTATGAAAAATAAATGTTATTTATGTTTTTATTATTCTTGACATCACAAAATGTACATCTGACAAGGACTCAAGAGAAATCAAATATACATTTTAGTAGATACAATTTCATTGCCATATCATCTTCTTTAAGTTCATGCAAGGTAGTATGTGACTGTCTTCCCTGGACAAAAGGGATGGGCTTTCTAGATATTTTAACCAACATGTGTTAAAAACTTAGTTCATGCTAGGAATATTTAAAATTTGTTGGCCAATAAGAATTAGCCTTCAGAGGAAGTCTAGGGTTGATTCCCACCCACACTTTAAAAAAAAAAAAAATGCAAACTTCCCCATCCGCACTGGAACTAAAATATTTCAAAATAACTATTTCCTAGTCCAGGTGAAGGGTTTGTGGTTTGTTTTTATCTGTAGATAATCTACTTGTAAATTCTAATTTAAATGTTCAGCAAATGTTTGTTTTAGGACCCATGCCATTTGGTAAATAACTTAAAGAAATATTCCAATGCAAAAGAAAACAGACTCACTTGAACTTTAACCTCTTGATGGCTCAGAAGAGGAACTAGAAAAGGTACAACACCTGAATCGATCACCATCTGTATCTGTTCATTACCACCATCTGTTAGGTAGGACAAAGCCCAAACAGTGTCCACGAGAATCTATATATTGAAAAAAACAAAATTCAGAGAGTGGCAAGATCACAATTGTATATATTCTAATTAATGATCAATGGTCCACATACCCCTTTGAAAACAGAAGAACATGCAATTTGCTCCAAAGAGCTCAACAATACAAGAGACAATCAATAAAATGGTAGCAACTGTAATTGTGAAATAGATAATCATTTGCCCCACTACATGAGTTTCCAAGTTCTTCATGTACCCTTCCTCCCCCGCTCCCCTCTTTTTTTAAAACTAAAAATACTTTTAAGGGTAGTTCCAGAACTGCAGTAATACTATCTTGATCAAATTTCATCAGCACAAGATGAGAAGAGTTGGGCTTGGTCAGCAGGGCTGGCCTACAATTTTTGAGGCCCCCTGCAAGAAATAGGTTTGAGACCCCTGCCCCAAAGAAGCTGGCAGCAGGGTTGGCAAGCAGCCAAAGAAGCCAGCAGTGGTGGTGGGGGGTAGGGAGCAGCCGGACACAGGAGTCCCCTTAGCTGTGGGGGCCCCCTGCAGCAGCAGGTTTCGCAGTATTGGACCAGTCCTGTTGGTCAGTATCTTTGTGGCTAACCACCAAGAAAAATACAGATGAAAGAAGAGCATGCGATTCTGCAGGCAGATATTGAGACAGTACTGAACTGTTCCCCCAATACTGCTAAAATTGCTAATATACATGCTCTCCTTTGATTACAAAAGTCGACTTGTAATCTTATTAGGATATACCTACGTAGTGCTAACAGGAATCTAGTTATATATAACTAGTTATGATTCCTGCCTGATGTTTGGTAGCTGCTATCTGTGTCAAAGTGCAAACTCTGTTGTGAATGCAGAGCTTTGTTGCCTTTTCTGCTATCTTTTGTTTGCATTCTGAAAGAAGCCCACAGGAGGTAAAGGGTGGAATTCTTGCACCTGGCACAGAGCTCAGAGGGTTGTCAAGCTTTGATGATCATCTATTCAAATGGAGACCCCCTGAACAAAGGGACAGCTACAATCCAGTGCAAACTAACTCTAAGTTTAAAACCAAGAGGGCTGGTGACTCCTAGATAACCTAACAAGGGTGATCCCAGGGTCTCTAGACAAAAGGGGCTAGAGATTATAAAGAAAGGATTCACATCAAGTATTTGAGAAAGGGAGAAGGGATCAGAAGCAAAAAGCTGACTGCAGGAATGAGGCAGTCAATCATTCAGAGAAGCTGTGAGTCGCAGGCTGGAAATTCTGGACTCCAAAGAATCTCTGACTAAAAGCCAAAGAATACTTGAGAAAGGCGAGGACTCTGATGTAGGTAAATGCATACAAACCTCTATATTTCTTGTGCTAGGTAAAAGTGAGACACTGTTTATTTGGAACCGTTACAGAGGGTGCCCATCTGCTTCCATGTCTGTAACTGTAAACGGGGACCACAAATAAGTTCAGAGCCTAAGGAAAAGCATGTGTAAACTACTGAAGAAATTGCATCACTGACTCATAATATCCTGGTCCCACAAAGGAGTTATGAAGAAAGCAAGCCTGTGCCCATGCTGCAGTGTATGAAGACCATGGAAGTTTAAGAGTGCACTAGACAGAGCTGTGGTACCCAGGCACAGCAGTCTGTTGAGTGTCCAGTCTCAGGAGCTTTGTTAAGGTTGTGACATTATCCTTAGTTTTAAGTGCTGAGGACACCATGCTAATAAGATTCCAATCTAAGACTTTCTGAATCCTAGGTCCAGTACTAGTGTGTCACTTTCTGTTATAAACTGCCTTACATTATATTGTGCTGTTAAAAACAGCTGAAACATTCCATTTTAGAGACTACTAGATAGTAGTAGTATGTAAACTGAATCAGGTGTTTTCAATCTAAACCCTGGTCAAATACACATTGGACTCTTTCAGGATTAAAGATGCTTCGTAGTGGGGGGCAAGCCAGAAGCAATCCCCATAATTTAGGTTGATCAACATATTTCATTAACAGATTTTTCAACTAAGAAGCTGTCCTACAGCCATCATTTGCAATAGATCTTTAAAATTTGTCAGAGAAGCCTACAGGGTAGACAGGTATTTTTGGCCTGTCCCATGAAATTCCGTTTAGCTTTGGGCAAGTTATAAACTGTAAAGAACACCGCATGCAGTTTGGTGTCTACACCTCAAAAGGGTATAGAAGAATTAGAAAAGATACAAAGAAAGGCAACAAGGAAGATCAGAGGTTAGAAGGGCTTCTATATGAGACTAAAAAGACAGGACTTATCAGTTTAAACACGAGACCCTTGAGGAGCAGACATGAAAGTAGTTTCCAAAACAGTAAACGGTACACAAAAAGTAAATAGGGATGTGTTATTTATGATGCAGCTGCACAAAAGGAAAATGCGGTTTGGGGGTGCATCAACAGAGACATTAGGTACAAGACTACTTGGCACTAGTCAGGCCTTATCTAAAATATTGTGTAAAGTTTTGGGATCCACATTTTAAAGGGACATAGAGAAGCTGGAGAAGGTCCAGAGGTGGGCAATAAAGATTATACAACAAAAGCTGTGTTAACCGGCATTTTATTAGCTGGAAAACTCTATTAACCAGCATCCCAGGGATGCGGCAAAAGTGAAACCAGAAGTATCACTTCTGGGTTTTGCCACAACAAGCAGAATTTTTCTTTGCCACTTCTTCAGCCCACAGCCCAGGGCAAAGCAGCCTGCGCAGGGCCCCCCTCCCTGTCCCCTGGCACACTGAAGCCGGGGAGTGCACCGGACAATACACATTTGATTAACTGGAATATTTGATTAACCAGCATCCCCCATTCCCAGGAGATGCTGGATAACAGAGCTTTTACTGTAAAAGGCTTGGAAAGCAAGTAATCCAAGGAGAGGTTGAAGGTGCTATGCATTTTTTAGCTTGCGGGAAAAGTACTTAAGAGGGGACATGATAGCAGAAAGCATATCTTCTCTCTTGCTGCACAGAGGAGAACACAGACAAATGGCCTGAAGTTTCAGCAAAATAGTAAAGTTTTTCCTGATATCCAAACTAAACCTGTTAGATCAGTGAGGCAGTGGAATAGACTGCCTAGGGAAACAGTGAAAGTGTTCAAGGAGAGACTGGACAGTCATTGATTATGGAAGATATAGGCCAGGGTTAGGCAACCTGCAGCACAGGTGCCAGAGTGTGGCATGCAAAGGCATTTTGCTTGGCACATGTGCCTTGGGGCAGATAGCAGGAAAGGGTCCACGGCTACACAGCCACAACAAAGATTGGGCCCCTCAACTCCCCTGCCATCCACCCCTGGCACACCAACATCTCACAAGTCAAAGTTGTGGGTGTTTTTGGCACTCTGCCCAAAAATGCTGCCAATCCCTGATCTATGTTCTTTCCATGCTTCTGGTCTTTGTCAGCTGCTGCATGGGGCTGGAGGGAATTTCATTCCCTCCAGCCCCCTCAAATGCTACATGTATCAGAGTTTTTTTCTTTTTTAAAACCTTCCTCAAAAGCACTGGGTATTGGCTACAGCCAAGGCTGGGGCTTTTGACTGGGGTGTGCCAATGTTCCTGCTGGAACTTAAGCCTGAAGGGCTAGAGAGTCTTGCCCCTCCAGTCATGGTCAGCCTGGTTGCCATTATTTGGGGTTAGAAGCAATTTTTCTCTAAGCAATTTTTCTCAGGGTCAGATTGGTACAGGCTGTGGGGTTTTTCTCTTCCTCTGTAACAGGGGGTGGGGCATTCTTCCTACCTTTGCAATAGCAGGACATTGGTCACCCTGCTTTACCTGTGGCACATTAGGGTGTTATGTGTTGCATCCAAGCTGACTGTAGTTCTGCTAAGAGGTTTTTTATTATGTTTATTATTTAGCATATAATACAGTAATCACAAAGCAAAACGAAAAATATTCACAATTATGTCCAAATTTTGCAACCAGCTGATTGCCTTAGGTGTAGTATTGTGCAGATCCAATACAGTTCCATTAAACGACAAAGAGAACATTCAGAGGTGATGCGATTCAAAGTCTGAAAAAGGGTGCTGCAATTGCAGGTCAGTTCGGTGAACTAGTCCAGCCCTACCAATGTAACAGAAATCCACATCTGCCGTGTCCTGTACTGATTCAGTTTAGAGAAAACCAAAGATGTCTAGGGAGATCAAAACCAGCTGGTGTAATGGTGGGAGTTGTAACGATAATTTCTGTATTGGGGGGGAATTCAGCCAATCTTGCATCCAGGCATCTTGGAGGTTAAATAAGTCTTGCTCAAGTTGAACTGATGTTCTCCAAGTGGGATGTCTAGATTTAAATCTTGGAATTGGTGGGTTTAAGAGATCCTCATGTATATGCAGTTGCTAAAAGGTTAGATAATGGATTTGTATAGTTGGCTTTGATGGGGATGATCCTGCCTCAGGCAGGGGCTAGACTAGATGACCTCTCAAGGTCCCGTCCAGCCCTACTTCTCTTTGATTCTATGGATGTCTCAATACTAGAATTGGGGACGTGGGGGGGGGAAAAAAAAAATCAAACTATTAGATAGTAGGTTTAAAACTAATAAAAGGATGTTCTTTCACACTCCACATAATTCTGCACAAACCCTATTCACCTTCCTCCTCAGCATCCACACACTGCCACTGTGAGAGAGGAGGATCCTGGGCTAGATGGACCTATGGTCTGAATTAGCAAATGGCATTTATTTTCTTCTGTAAAGCCCTTAAATAAAGCCCTCTTACTGCCAGTTAAGCCTGCGCTACAGTGATGAAGGTCTGGTATTCAAATCCTGAAGAGGATGGCTAATAGGGGCTGTTACAGGTGTAAGAACAGGATCACCCAGATACTCACATAAAGGCAGGTTAAGTCCCAAAATTTTAGTTGCAGAAAAATCATGACTACCAGATGGGGAGCCTTATGATGTTTTGGCCCTATAGGGCACTTGAGGAACAGGAGACCTGGCTAACAGGCCCCCTTCACCCAGAAAGGTGTCTGAACCTGTATCTCTTCCTTCCAAGCAACAGAGCAGGGGCTAGGCTAAGGGGGCCAACCTGCAGTACACATGCCACGAGTGGCCCAGGCAGCTTCTGTGTGGGGCACACACAAGATCAGTGAAGGAACAAGCAGTACAGTGGCAGATCGGACAGGAAGCACAAAACAGAGCAGCAGACCAGGCAGGGGAAGGGGATTGGAGTGGCACTTGGGGAGGGTGCAGGACTCATGTGACGTGCCTACCAAAAATGTTGGCCACCACTGGGCTAGACATTACCCAGACCATTTTCCAGTTCTCCTTTCGAAGCATATCCACTGTTGCTAGCCTTGGCATTTTCAAGGAGCCTAGGCCAAGCTGCACAACTGTGGCTAAGCACAAGGCCCCAGAGCCAGGCCCTCTGCAGCACGCTGAGCTGGGACAGATGAGCTTCAGGATGGCACACTGACACCTTGGGCCCCTGCCAGCAGGGCTGCTCTGCCCCAGCAAAACGTGCTGCGGTCCCTGGTGCATGTGTAAATGCTGCACCTGGAAGCAATAAACTCTGGTGCACGCTGCACCAGAGTTTATTCAGGTACAATAGTATGTGTAGATGCATCCACTATCATTTTTATTGTGTGCGCTTAAATATACCCAGGTTAACAAAAAAACAAGATTATGTAAAGACAATTTTCATTTAATCTCTAAGGACTCCCCTTCCCTCCCCCCCCCCCCCCAAAAAAAAAAAAAAAAAATTTGTAAAAAAAAATTTTTTTTTACAAATTTTTTTTTTTTTTTTTGGGTATTGTAAAAAACAAAGAATGGCAAAAATTGGAAAAAAAAAAAAAAAAATTTGTAAAAAAAAATTTTTTTTTACAAATTTTTTTTTTTTTTTTTGGGTATTGTAAAAAACAAAGAATGGCAAAAATTGGAAAAAAAAAAAAAAAAATTTGTAAAAAAAAATTTTTTTTTTAACCACACAGCCCCCCCCCCCCCCCCCCCCCCCCCCAAAAAAAAATAATATACACACACACACACACACACAAGTGCCTAAAATGTAGGACAACACTTTCATTTTTACTTACATTTATATCTGTATGGTATATGAGAACACACAGTGCTGGCAAAATCTGGAAAAAAAAGTTCACAAAATTTAGTGCCATTTCTCCATTGCAGAAAAAGCCACTACTTGGACAATTACACTGATCTCCCCAGCTACTTATGAGAGCTGATGTTAAATTACCAATACATTAAGAATAAGCACAGAATTAATAAGTAAGTATCCCCAAATGCTTCATAAATTTCTAAGATTACTAGTTTACTTACATTCTGCTTCACTGAAAGTAATTTCATTTGAATAACTACTTGTATGTACAGAACCATGTTTGTAGTAGTCTCTTGTTTGGTGCAAGTCTGAAACTGCTGAATAAATAACTGCACAAGTAAACACATTCTACAGCTTTCAATTTTTTTGACAACTTTACTGTAATTCAGGTTAAAGATTAGGTAACCAGTATCCACTCTCATATGTAACAATTAAAATGAACAACCAGGCAGTGTCATACACATTTATGAAAGTTTTAGCTCATGTATCCACATGAAAGATTTAGCCCCTAACCCAAAATTAAGGTATAAAAGTTATCTGTGCCATTATAATTCTTTATTTACCTCCTGAACTGTCTCCATAGGCGGTGGAGGGTCTTTATTCCTGCAGAGATTTACTATGACCCATGTGACGTTCCGAAGGAAGGTGATGGGAATGGAGGGATTGATGAAGGACAGAAGAGGTTTGACAACTCCCAGTGATATGACATAATCTCTACACTGAGGACCATCACCTACAGAAATGAAAATTGTTTAAAAAAAAAATTACATTCAAGATGGGAAACCTTGAAATGTATGCAATGATTTAGGTTGGGATACTGAAATTCTATGTTTCCTCATCAGTAATCTGGTACCAAAAGTTGCTGTTAAATAAAATTATAGGAGGCACAAATTTATCCTACTAAAATTTCATATAGCAAGTGAAGCTACTAACTCTTCAAAAATAAGAATATAAGTATGTATTCTTGCCATGTGAAATATTATATTAAATTATAGCTTTTAGAGGAAACATAGTCTTATATGGTAATGCCAGTGTTCAAAAGTCAGATTAAAAAATTAAGTGGTCCCTGATTTAATTTCAGTTATTTTACAAATACAGTTAACACTTACCTATAATATTTCCAAGGGCCCAAACAGCTTGCTCACAAACATTCTGATGTGGTGAATGGAGTAGTCTCAAAAAGAGTGGTACTGCATCTATAGAATGAACAGATTGGACTAGCTTTAGTGGGACATGGTTGAAACAGTATGTAGTATTTTGGTCTGTTATTAAATATTTATACAGAGTATTAATAATTTAAATTTGTAATAGTGGCTGATAATTAAGATTAAAAAAATATTGATCTGACCACTATACACTTACAATCTACATCTGCAATACTGTATCTATCTAAAACTCTTAACATGTTTTATTCCAGACCTGAAGGAAATGCCACACCATGTAACCACTAACTTTGCTGCCCCACACAGTCAAAATCTCTCTGCCTTCTACAATACCAGCAATTTCAGTTGATATAAGTATGCATTACAAAGCAAGACAGTCAAGTTCCATCAGAGACCAATTGGCTATTAGTTGGTGATTAATTTTTTCAACAAACTGTGTTGCGTTTGAACAGATGACACAGGGATAAAAATAATCTATATCAGTAGTACTTCCCCTAAACTATCCTGTTTCCCCTCAACCAGCTCATTTCTTGAAGGGGAAGCTTATTTTCATTTGTTCACTATCTTACTTTATCTTATAGACCTGTTAAAGAAACTAAAAATCAACCAATATACTGATGAATAAGGTTGTATTTTACCCACTGTATTCTGTAAATCCTAAAATACTCAAGCTACGGAAATTAAGGTATATTTTTTACAGAATAATATGCAACAAAACTGTAAAAAAAAAAAAGGCACAATTACTATTGGTAATTTAATGAGATAATTGGAGGCCATGAATGAGCAAGATCAACGGAAAAATTGTACACACTTAAGATGAATTGCAAAGGAATTTGATAAAATTACCTAAAGATTAGTAACACAGCAGTATCCTTCAATAGGTAAGTTAAGAGGGTATTCAGCATATCAGCACTTAAAAACATTCCTTCTCGAGTGCCTGTGAAATTCAGTATCACTGATCCACAGCTCAACTACTCTGATGGAATATCCCCTGCATCCCTTTCTTGACAACCAAGACTACATTGTGGAACTTGACTGGAACACAGAGCCAATCTCCAGTAATTGGGGGGGCTTAAAGTAAAAAGTTCATATTAGATTCCACAACTTTGCCACATTCTGAGAAGGCAATGAAATATTTCATGTTAGCCTTCTCGTGATTAGAAAATTCAAAAAATGTATCCATAATTCTTCTATAAGAGCTAGAGGAAAAATAGCTTACTTTGACAGTACTACATTTTGGAAAAGAAAAATTAGCAGCAGAGGGGAACACCAAACATGCATAATGTCAAAAGCATCTAGACATCATGTCTTGCTCTTTTTGTAAGAAAAAGAATCACTGTACTTTTTCTGCTCAACATGACAAAGGAATATAGTCTCGTGGGGTAATTTGTGTAACGACAATTGCGTGGAAAAACTGTTTAACCTCAAGCGACATGAGAACTGTAGACACGATCTTCAGATTTTGCTGTTTCTCTGCAATTCTGACTTCAATCTGCAAGTTAATGCAGATTTAAAAAGTTAACTTCATACATCTAGTACTGGCTGTTCTGAAAGTATTTTGCAAAACTGAATTAAGAGGGCAGCTACAATCTGTCTTCTAGTTGAACAATAACCTGAACATGTGAGATTCACCATTTAAATGTTAAAATTAAAACATGAAGAGTTTTTCTGTAAAATTCAAAATTAAGGCTGATTCATGATCCACCAAAGTCAATGGGAGAACTTCCACTGATTTCCATGGGCTTTGGATTAGGTACATAATGCAAATAATTGTGCAGTAAAATACAGCTGTGCAAAAAGTTAAAAATCAAACTATCAGCAATAAGCTTTCAACATCAACCAGGGGTGCAACCACACAAGAACTGCAGAGAGGGGAACCCTCACCTCAGTTGAAAGTTTAAAGTATATCCTATTTACTTAATCTGGTACTTGCTTCATATGGGTTTGCTCTTGGACCTCTAAACGGCCAACTACCATACAGCTAGCCTACAGGACAAAATCCTTGATATCCCATTTGTGAAGGAGAGCCTGCTAAGACTATCTATTCAAGTATTCTTAAGACCCAGAAGGTGCATTGCTGCCAGATGTCTGGTGATAAATAAGGTTCCTGGTCTTCCCTGATAAAAAGTCACAAACTCTGATAAAAAAAATTGTAAATTCTCTGATAAACCCCCCAAAATCTGTGATTAAAATGAATGGCCACTATAAATATAGGTATCAGTTGAACACAATGTTTTCTTGATATATTTATAATTTTAAAGCAATTTGGAAGCCTACCAGTGTCTCAATCACTATAATAAAATAAACTCTAAATACCTATACATTTTGGTATTTGATTTTGGGTTTTTGCTTTGTTTTTTTTTTTATCATGGGAAGTCAGAGCTCTCCCTGCCTCCTTAGCTCAGAGAACGCAGGTCCAGGCTTGGCCTTGGGTGGGGGGTGGGGCTGGCTCCCCTAGAGATGTGTGCGGGACAGGGACAGGCTGCCCACTGCAGGCTTGGGCTCCCTTCCCTGCTGCCCTACCCCAGAGCCTCTTCAGCTCAGGGGATGCAACCCAGCGCTGCAGGGCACAGCTGGGCTGAATGAGAAAGCTGCTTGCTACTGCAAGCTCCATGCTGCCTTGGAGAGGTGTCCCCTACCTGCACAGCAGCAGTGGGGGCAGAGGCACAGGGTTATGCTCCTTGCTGTGGCAGCATGGGCAGGTGACACCTTGCCAGGGCAGCCCAGAGCTTGCAGCAGTAAGCAGCTTCCCTTGTGTGGCCCGCAATCTTGTGTTGCACCTGCTGGGCTGAGGCCCTGGCAGATGGCTGCCGGGCAGGGAGCCCAAGTCTGTGCCTGCTCTGCACACAGATCTGGAGGGCATGGGTTCCCCTGGGCCCCCCCAAGAGTGCACAGTGGCCAGAAGCCAGGCCCACCCTGCTCCCTACTGGGGCCCTTCATTCCCGCCCTGGGCCCCAAGCCCTATGTACCACCTAGCTGGGCAGCAGCCCCAGTCCTGCCCAACTCCCTCCCTCCCTGAGGGCCTCAATTCCCCTCCCGCACTTACCTGAGGGAGCTGCTCTCCAGGCTGCCTGGTGGCCACGTGAATATACATGCACATGGCACCCCCTGCCTTACTGTCCTCCTCCTGCTCCCCCCAGTCCCTTGCAACCTGAAACTCTGCCAGCCTGCAGAGAACTGTTTGGAAAAGTGCAAAATCCACGGGTTTCTCTGTTAAAATGAGAAATCCGTGTTTTCTTTGGGTAAAGGGGAAAATCCACATTTTTCTCCATTTTCTGGTTAGAGATGGAAAACCCAGATCCCTGGTGATAAAGACACCAATTCCAGATGATGAATGCATTTTTGTACATTTTTCCTACTTGTTATAAAAATTGGTTGCAGTAGTGTTCATCATAAACTGCATATGATGCCCTGTAATGATGAAGAGATGCTTGACAAACCCTGTGGACCGCACTGAGTTTCTAGATATTTAAAATGTAGCTTCTCTTCAGGATGACCCCTTCAAGATCCATATTCTGCACATGAAGGCTGTTTGCTAATGCCCCCCAACTTGATAAATGATGGCTGTGATGAAATAACTCTCTCCTGCCCCCAGCAGATGCTGAAGAACAGACCTGATAAGCAGGTGAACAGATAACTTCCGTATCCAGGTGTTCTCCCAGAGAAGAGACAGATTCTAACCACATATGCCTGCTTCCAAAATCTAATCTAGTAAGTAACATCAAACAGATGGAAGAGGTCACATGATCCAGGATGGACAGGCAAATTGCTGAAATTGCCCCTGAGCTCTATGAGGAGGTCCTGCCAGGACTGCAAACAATCAGTCTTGAGAAAGGTAGGCTGTGGCTGAAACAATTTACAACAGCCTTCATGAAATCCAGTCATGGACTGGGGCTATTTCAATTTCTGGGAGCTCACTGTGATGTCCAGGATGTGGAACAAGCACAGAATAGTTCAAAGCATCCTTATCTTTTGCTAGCTAGTTGTCTATATAAGACAACCTTCAGGGATGGGTTGCTACCGTCATCACAAGGACCTTGGTGAAGGTGTTGAGGACCACTGGCAGTCCAAATGGGAAGACATTATAGTTCTGACTTACCATGAACTGGAGATATTATATGTCTAAAGATGTGATGACTGTATGAAAGGACACATTCTTAAGGTCAAGAGAGGTGAATCAATTCCAGGACAAGGGATCATGGGGGCCAACAAAGCCATCTTAAAGTTGAGCTTGGAGCTAGAAGAGCTCAATCTATGCTCAAGTGCTATCCTCCTTTGGTTTTTGGGATCAGAGTAATGAGCACAGAATTCAATTCTGTTTTGCTGTATAGCAGTTCCTTCTATGGCATCCAAAGTTATGAAGCAGGCTTCTTGCTGAAGCAAAATCTCATTAGATGAGGCCCTGAAAAAGGATGGGAAGGAGTCTGGAGTAGGTACCATGCTGAACCAGATTGTATAAAACAGCCACAATGTGCATCTAAGACTCACTAACCTGCCATGATATGGTCTCAGGCATGCTGGAACAGGGCCAAGCAGAGCTAAACAAAAAAGAAGAGAGAAAAGGAATCATGGGGAATGGACTGCCCCTCTTGATCATCTAGTACAGGTTTTCTCTACTGCTTAGAAAATGGTGAGTGGAAGAAGGTGATGATGAAGGACACTGCCTTTTGTGAAAGTGCTGGCTCACTCTCAGGTGCCCTGATACAGAAAGGGCAGAGCAGAAGGCAAATGCTGAGGTGATCTCTAGCTGAAAAGGCTGGTATGTATACTTCTTCTCTGAGGTCAATGCATAAACCCCCAAAGACTGGAAGATAGCCCTAGAGGACATACAGTTTCTCTTGGAACTGAAAAACTCTGCCATTCTAGCATATTCTAAAACTCCTTTGGGGAACTAGAGCCATATAGCCAGAAAGACTGCCTACTGACATTTACTGTGGCCAGTACTCAAGTGCAGGTGGCAGCTGCTTCTAGTGCAGTTTGTAGGGAAATTCTGTAAAACAAGCTATTTCCCTATAAAGAACACAGTAAAGACTTCCCCAGAATTGGAGGCAACCTCTTAACAAAGACTGCTAACCAAACAAATTCTGAAGTTATATTGGCTTATAGGTGCCTGACAACTAACTACCTTGAATTGCAGACTAGCAGAGGAATAAAACTTCATCCCAAGCAAGTACTACAAAATTCTCACCTTCTCATTACCTGCAGCTATAATTAGGGAAGACAGCACGTGTGTGTAGAAATATTCTGAACCTCTGAAAGGAAACTGATACCATCAGTCAAAATTCTGCATGACTGGGGCAAAGGAGACCAATATTTGCCATACTAGCCTGGCTGGATCCTCACTGGTGGGAAGAGTGGCTTTGTTAGATGTAGACCAATGCAAAACATCCACCAGGCTATGTGAAGAGCCAATCTCTTTCAATGGAATCCCCAAAGCTTGTGCCACCATCCCTTGTGAGGTCCTGAAAACCACTGAAGAGGTCCACTTCCAGTGCAAAAAGAGCGATGACTATCCCTTCAGTAGAGGAAGGTGATGGCGATTTAAGATCAGGAAACTCTTCCACTCCAGAAGCTAGTTCTGGAGAGTGCTCCTAGCTCCAGGGAGACAAAACCTCAGGTCTGAAGAGAGGGCCTGTGATTCTGAGATGGACTACTGCCATCTGTTCTTTGAGTGAGGGACAAAGCCAGGAAGGTCCCTACAGCCACTAGACCAAAACTCATGACATGACAGGGGAATCCAGGGGTCCAATTCTTCTTTCCAAGGGAGTTCCAAAGCCCAATCAGGATGGCAAGGGAGGTAGTCTATTAGAATCAAACTCTTCTGAAGTTTCAGACATGAAGATTTCAACTGATGGTTCCCACTGACAGATCCAGGATCAGTACCTGTGAGGCTAAGAAATGCAGCAAAGACTGCCGTTAATGCTGACAATCAAACATAACATCATCACAGGAAACAGTGGACCAGAACAAGTGGCAGGGAGTTGTTGAGACGCTTTTTTTGTGGAATAACTGGCACCAAGGGCTCCAGCTGTGGTGCCAGAGTGTTGGTTTGATGACAGCTAAGTATTGGAGGAAAAGCAAAGTAAGGCCTTAAGCACTTAGCCTTATGCTTTCTAAGCACTGAAAATGTAGCTTTTCTGACACCAGGCAGGAATGCTGAAATGTACCACAGTCTTATCAGGATTAACATGTGGGCTTGCAAACCTCAGAGGAGTGAGATGAGGGCAAAACAAATCCTCCTCAAGGTGTCCCAGGCCCAGGGTCTCTCCTAGAACCATCACTGACCCTGCAACTCCCTGGAAGATGATCTTCTCAAAAGGGAATTTACATCTCTGGACAGTCTGCACCCAAATAAGTCCAACCTTCCAGGGTCAGAAGCCAACCCAGAGATAAACCTGGAGTCTAGTCAGTCTTCCAAAGCCCAAGAGAAAATGATAAATGTGCAAAGAGCTCATTTCCCATATAAAATAAAAGTACTTAGTGGCCATGTGTACATGAGATGCTGACTACACTGTTGTTACTGCACAGTCATTTAATACTTGTATGAACAAGTACTGAATGACTGCACAGTAACCTGACTTACTGTCCAGTAGTATCAAGGAATGCCTTTTTTGTGATGCTGACTGTGCAGTAGCCTAATATTACTAAGCAGTAGCGCTGCATCATGGTTTTTGCCACATGACGCTGCTGTGCAGTCAGCATCTCATGTAGACAAGGCCAGTGTGTCCATAGTAAGCCCAAGCCTATCACAAGACAGACATATCTTGAAACTGAGCAGCTCAGATGAAGTTATGCCAACCATTGGAAGAAGGACAAAAAAAAAAGCCTCACTCAGAGAAACCATGTGGTATAGACTAGCAAAGTTTCAGGCCTTACTGAAAAATGGCAGATACAAACAAAAAGAAAGAGAAAAGTCAACTAGAAAAGTTATAAAAGCAAAAGGGAGAAGAAAAGAACAGGTAAGTTTTCAATAACAGCCATAAACCAAGCCTGTGGTCTGGAATACACTGCAGAACCTCACCTGTTTCAGCCAAGGCAGCTGAGAGGAGAACTGAGGAGCAGGAAATGTTCACTGCCCTTTATTCAGGAGTGAGCAAAATATGGCCCTCCGGCTGGATCTAGCCAACTTATTGGATTTGGCCTGTGGCTCTACATAGGGCCAAGACCCACCCACTCCTGCCTGGGGCACCCTGCACCACTCATCCCCACTGGGATAACATGCACAGCTTCCCTGGGGCTGCTCCTGGGGCAGCTGCAGCCACCCAAATACTCCTCTGTTCCCTGCACGTCCAGCAGCAACTCCTTCTGGCCTTGCTGCATAGCCAAATAGCAATGGCAGCTATGGGGACGTGTGCCAGGCACCACCACCTAACCAGGTTTCTGCTCATTATACTGGGTGGCTGAGTGGGTGGAAGGCAGCTGGTACTGGAGCCCAACATGCTAGGACATAAGCCACCCAAGCTGCAGCTTCCCTTCTGCATGGCTAGATGCAAGTTGCCTGGCGTATGTCCCCATGGCTTCCCTGTGCTGCCTGAAGCACTACAGCAGGAGGAGGAAAAGCCACTAGGGGTGGGGGAAACCAAGCAATACCTGGACAGCTGCAGCCACTAGGAGCAGTCCCGCTAGGAAGTTGTGCTCACTGGCTGGGGCCAGGGTGGGCAGGAACATGGTGTGGGCTGCCCTGGGTGGGGACTGGACCCATGCAGAGCACCATGGGCTGGATGGGAAGGCACAGACTGTTCCTGCACCACACAGCCTGGACAAGCTCTGCTGCATGCACTCCCTCCCCTCCCCGACCCTTGGCCAGCTCCGGGGACCTGGAGTGTGGGCAACTCTCTGCACAGGTACATATCCACCCCATATGCCACCCACCCCCCATCACACATAATATACAATATACAAGAGTAAGACGTTATATGGAACTATTTAATTGCCTCTGTGTGTGTGTGTGTGTGTGTGTGTGTGTGTGTGTGTGTACACATACATATACATATATATATATATATATACACACACACACACACACACACACACACACACACACACACACATATACATACATATACACATACATACATACATATACACACACAAGTGCTCGCGCGTGCGCGCTCACACACACACACACACACACACTACTAAAAGAACATAAGGACAAAAATATTTTATGAAATAAAATTAAAGTTATAATAGATGTCTGATTTTTAGTATGATTTGTTTTCATCTGTAATTTGTTAAAATATCTTCTGAAAAAAAAAAAGTTGTGCACGCAGCCCTCAACAGCTCACCAAAATTCATTAAGTTGCCCTCTAGCCAAAACAACAGCCCACCCAGGCTTTATGACCTTGACACAGATCATGAGGAGAGAGGAAGGTGCATACATGCTGTATGGGTATTGACATGGTAAAATGTCAGAGGTGCATATGCACCCACAACGGAATACACACATGGACAAGTACTCAAAGAACTGCTCATCGAGCCTCTTGGTTCCAGTCATATGAAGAACACTAGCACTTCATTTAGGAAATCAACCAAAGAATGACAAAGAATCGACACTTTCTATGATACAGTATAACTTGAATCCAGTAAGGAAAGAAAAGATGGTAACAATTCAAGCCAGAATTTCTTCATTTTAAATAATTGCTGGCAAATAGCTTCTTAGTTACAAAAAATAGCCAGATCTCTGGTAGAAAGATGCTAGAAATAATAATTTATTCTTCAGTAGTTTTAATATAAAAACTTTATATTCAAAGGGTGTCTTTTCTTTCATCACTGCATGACACGCTTGAAGAATAAGCAACTTTTATTACTTACTAGACTGTACCACAGCTTGGGTCTGTGCAGAAGTGCCTGATGCTATGTTAGTCAACGCCCATGCAGCTTCAAACTGTAACGAAGAACTGTAAACAACAAAAAACAACAATTTTAAAGAGTCAAGAGGTAATCTTAAATGTGTTCTGTAGATTTACAAGTTTACTTCTATTGCTATTACTTGTAAATGCTTACAGTACACTATGCTGCATGATTTTCAAGTGAGAATAGTCTGCAGAGATTTCAGAGGAACTGCAGAAATTTAGGGGAACAAGAATGAAGAAAAACAAGTACAAATTTTATATAAAACTAGTCTTTTCTAGGGGGATAACCATTAGAAGATCAGAACTGAAAAAAAATAAAAATATTGTATTTCCTAAAGCCTTGTCAATTACAGAAGCTGACTGCTGCAACACACAAAACTGATTCAGGTGGGGTAGGGGGGAGGTGTCAAAAGTGCTAGCCACATCCCTCTCATGCGCCACTGGCTACAGAAACTGCTAGCACATAACTACATGAGCCCAATGTGCTTGGGAGGACCTTTGACTTTGATATACCAAGAAGTCCAGGTGCCCATCATATGAAGAGATGTCTAATTGACCAATGGAGCTACAGTGTATGTGTTCATTCCCAAACTCTGAAAGCATATCTTACATACCTTTTTAAACAACTGCAATTAGAGGTGCACTCATACAACAGTCCATATCGTATCAGCACCAATAAAAGGAAAATCGACATTATTGGTATTCGGCTTTTTTTGGCTGATGTGGCCAATAATGTTGCCAATAAATGCTGTGTGCATGCGCACAGCCTCAGCATGCACTCGGTCAGCCCAGCAGCTTGGAGAGCGGCATCTGGCTGGGAAGTTTGTTTGGGGGGAAGGGGCAGGGAGAAGGAAGGGGCATGGGAGGGAGGGGGTGCAGATTGAGGCTCCTGCAGTGTGGGAGAGTGTGGGGCTGGGGCAGGGGCAAGCACTGCCTATGCAGGGCAGGGTACAACACAGGATGAAGCTGTGAGAGGCCTGTCCAGGAGGGCAGATCTCACTGCTGCGTGCACATCCCCAGGGGAGGCATGGGGAGCATGTGCCCCCTGGATCTGCGTGCAAGGCAGGTGGGGCCATGGGCAACAGCAG